TCATTCCATCACTCATTCATTCATCCATTCCTTCATTAATTCATCCCATCCATCCATCCATTTCCTCATTCATTCATTCATTCATTCATTCACACATTCATTAATCCATTCATTCATTCATTCATTCAATCACTCATCCATTCATTCATCCATTCCCTCATTCATTCACTCATCCCCCCATTCATCCATCCATTCCCTCATTCATTCAATCACTCACCCATTCATTCATTCATTTATTTCCTTATTCATTCATTCATTCATTCATTCATTCATTCATTCATTCCATCATTCATTCATTTATCCATTCCCTCATTCATTCACTCACTCACCCACCCTTCCACCCATCCTGATCCTTCCCACGCCTCCTCTCTCCACAGTGGCCAACAAGTGGTTCCACGAACATGGCCAGGAGTTCCACAGGCGGTGCAGCACCCACCCAGAGGAATAGCCGCCCCCCCCCTCCCAGGGGGCTTGGTGGGGCAGTGACAACTACTAGGATGCGTCTTGCAGCTGGGCTGGGGGTGCCCAGAGGAAACCGGAACATCTGGCACCCCTGCAGGAGCCTCGACGATGCAGAGATTGTTGGAGCACCCGCCAGTGTCCAGATGTGTCCAAATTTTATTTATTTAACATTTGGAGGATTGACAGGCTGGGGAACAAACACCTGGGCCGCAAAGCAGCGCACACTTGAGTGTGCAAGACAATAGGAGTGTCCTGGCCACCATGGCTGCTCCGAAATGAAGTTGCAGGAAGGAAGAGCCGGGGAACAGTTGCGATATTATGGGATGTGCCCACGAAGTGCTGACGAGTGATAGTATTTGACTTATGACCTCAACGGAGCCTGGAGTTTCCATTGCTAAACAAGATGGCGTTCCCTTTTACTGCCTTTTGTTTTTGTTTGCCACCGTTGTTAAGTGAGTTACTACAGTTGCTAAGTGAATCGTGAAGAGGAGGGACTGCGGGGTCCTTGGTGCTCTCTGATCTGGGTTGTTTTCTTGCAGATGTTTCAGGACCCAAGGAGGGGACTTCATCAGTGCAAACCTCACTCCCTTCTAGCACTGATGACGTTACCTAGTTGGGTCATGAAACGTCTGCAAGAAAACCATCAAGCTCAGAGAGCACCAAGGACCCCATAATCCTCCTTCTCCTCCCTCTGCAAATCTCACTTCCTTCTAACACTGATGATGTAGCCAAGTTGGGTCATGAAAAGTCTGCAAGCAAACAACCCAGCTCAGACAGCATCAGCCACACAGTCTTCCTCTCGGCAAACCCCATGGCCTTCTAGCACTGATGATATTTGGGATAAGGAAACACCAGTATGAAAATTAGCGGGTCAACTTATTTTCCAAATGCTTATATTATAGGTCAGCTTATTGTCTGTAAGAAAATAAGGGGCAGGGCTCAGAGGCTAAGATGCTGGAGCTTGTCGATCTGAAAGGTCGGCAGTTTGGCTGTTCGAATCCCTAGCGCCGCGTAACGGAGTGAGTTCCCGTTCCTTGTCCCAGCTTCTGCCAACCTAGCAGTTCGCATTCCGTGCACCTTCGGCGTTTAGTCATACCGGTGTCATGCCCGTTGAGTCTGACTCGGAGGAGGAAGCCCAACAGCCGATAGGGAGCGGGAGTGTGGCTCCGTTGGCTGTGGAGGAAACTGGGGAAGGGCAAAGTCCGGCTGGGCAGAGCAGGGAAGAGGTAGAACAAGGGAGAGGGAGTTCAGAGGAAGACCCAGGCCCACCCCCTCTTCATCCTAGGGCACACAGGGAGGAACGGAGAAGGGAGCAACGTGGGTTGCCTGGCTTACGGGGCAGGAAAGGGCCCCGATTCCCTTCATTAGCTGCATCTGAGAACACAGTGTATAAAAAAGACAAGCTGCGTGCAGCAAGCTATTGGGAGCAAACCTGAATTTATCTTGTATCATCGTGGCTTATCTGTGTTCCTGGCGTCTTCCCAACTGTGTGTGTTTTGCCGTGCTTTCAAGTCTGAAATTCCTGCTCCTGTCCTGCCAAACTAATTACTTCAGTTTGGTTTGTTTGGATTTTTAGTTACAGTTTGTGTTTACCCTGTTTTGGACTGAATTTTCTCCAGTTAAAGGCTGTTCCTGGGAGAGTTTTTTCTCCAACCGAAGGTAACCTGGACACTGGGGGCAAAGTTGGAATAAATAAAGGGACTCTTATTGCTTCTCAGACTGTGTTGCCTTTGTGTCACGCCCCGGTCATCACAGCTGGCCACATGACCACGGAGACGTCTTCGGACAGCTCTGGCTCTTCTTTGGCTTTGTAACGGAGTTGAGCACAACCTCCTAGAGCCAGAAACAACTAGCACGGATGTGCGAGGGGAGCTTTTCCCTTTATCTATTCTCCAGACGTTGTGAGTATTTCATCACTGGAGGTCAACGGAGGAAGCCAGGTTCGTTTAACAACCACACTGCTAACTTATCCACTGTAGGGATTCACTTAATGACCGGGGCGATAAAAGTCATAAAACTCACTTTACAAACATCTCATTTAACAACAGAAATTTGGGGCTGAATTGTGGTTGCACCTCAAGGACTCCCAGGGTCTTCAAGACACCTGTCCTAGAAAGTTGATGGGCGCCTAATACACCAGTTCCTTTCGGTGGAAGGATCTATACCGCCAAAAAAATCGGTATATTTATCCTTGTGGCCTAAAGCTTGAGGGACCTCGAGGCTTTAAGACAAGACACCCCCTCCCTCCAATAATATAATCATCAAATAATTAATAATAGTCTGCAACACCATGAAACATGCAGATCTGCCTTGGAAAATCCTCCCTGGTAGATTAAAATGCCAAATTCAGTTGGAATATCTGGCAAGTTCATAATCATCGATTCCTCTTGGCTTCTAGGGGCTCGCTAAGAAAGGATTCTTCCAAGTGACCCATCAGAGCATTTAGAGTATTTCCTATATTATTTTTATTATTATTAACACGCTCCGATGCTAAGGAGTTCTACTCTCCCTCCCCACCTGGAAAGAAACCTCTTCCAAAGGCAAAACACAAGCAGAGTTTCAGTTTCAGAGCACCAAGCAGCTTCAGTGCAGAACAGTTGAGCTAAGCCACGCCCAGGCTCCTTGCTGTCTCCTTCTTGCTCAAACAGCAAATACTCTTTCAGTTTCCAAACAGACGTCAACTCTCTCGCACACTGACAGGTGACAGATGAATACCGATGGATGCTGGTAGGCAGGGGCAGAATATTTTTTCTCCCTTATTTTCCTCCCCAAAAACTAAGCCCTACCACATAGTTTCGTAGCGAAGCACGTGGGTCCCCAGCTAGTTAATAATAATCTGCAACACCAAGAAACATCCAGATCTGCCTTGGGAAAGATTCCATAGGCAGATTAAAATGCCAAATTCAGTCGGAACATCTGGCCGGACCGTAGTAAGTAGTACTTTAAAAAAAACACCAGAGATTTCTTTGCAGATTCTTTCCACTTTATTTGAACTCAAGGCACCACTCCCCCAAAAAACAGTTTGGCCACCGGAGGTGAAGAACAGGAAAAAAAACAAACCCCTGATTTGTGCCTCTCTACAATCCCCCCCCCCATTCCCCCCCCTCCCTTTCCTTGTTCCCAAATAAAAGCGTTGAAGACAGGTTCAGAAAGGGAAGAAGGCGTTTTGGGCTGTGATCTCCCAAGGACAGCCAGGAAAACACCTGGAAAACTTTCTGTGGCCCGCGGGAAAACATTTGGTTGCATTCCTGGATCTGGATCTAGGAGGGAGGGGAATCATCCGGACGAAGGATCAGCAAACGATTTTTTAAGCAGGTGGAGGTTCAACAGGACAGCTTCCCTTCCCCGGTTGTGCTGCGCAAGACTTCCTAATAAGAGTATTTGTCAACCTTGGTGGCTTTAAAGAGACCGGGGTGGGGTGTAAAACGGACGGAACTATAACTCCCAGAATTCTGGGAGTTATAGTCCGTCCGTCTGTCCGTTTGTCCCCCCGTATTAAAGTCACCGAGGTGCACAAACACTGCAGACACAGAGAAGACAATTCACCAGGTGAGGCTACCCCACCCTGGCATGGTTCAGACATGCTGGGGTTGCAAGCGAATCGGTGGCTAGCTAGCCATTTTGGAAACTGCGCCCTGGGTGGGCGTTTGGATGGCGCTGGGTTTGAGAAAGGCCGCCCCTTTCATGCGTGGGAGAATAATGCCTCGGCTGTCGGAAAACAGGTGGCCACGTACACACAAGTGGGGAGAGTGGGTGAAGCGAGGAAGGTTGGATGAAATTCCTCCCCACCCACCCCCCACAAAGCCGGAGTTTACCCAACATCCTGGATTAGCCGCCGATAGCCATTTAAGGAAGAAACAAGCCAGGATCTGACGATTTCGGGTGAAGGGGCAAAAGGGGGGTCCAGCCAGGATGAAGTGGCGGGAGGAGAAACAGAAAAACCGAGCCGGACACCCGGTTTCTTCGCGGTGAGATTTGTACCGATGGGTCGGAGGCGGATGACGGGGAAGAGATGGGACATGCCACGATGCGTCCGATGTTGGTTTATTTAAAAGAGGTGCAGGAGGGACCATCGAGGGGGGGTATTAACAAGCAGGAAAAACACTGTGAAAGAAAAGAGAAAAAGAGGAGACGTGTTTAGCTGGTGAACCTCGATTTAGCGTTGCCGTCTTGTGTGATGACGCCCGCCACGGATGCCAGATAGTCCTCGACTTACGACAACTAAACGCGAAAGTTTCTGCCGTGGAGCGAGTTTTGTTAAGACTGTCTTGAAAAATGACAGTTTGCCTGTTTTACGACCGTTTTTGCCATGCTTGTTGAGTGAATCGCTGCGGTTAAGTTACTTAAGACGGTCATTAAGTCAATCTGGCTTCCCCGATGTCAGACGGTCGCAAAAAGGGATCGCGTGATTCCGGGACGCTGCGACCATCACAAATATGAACCGGTGGCCAACCGAATATAAATCATGTGACGATGGGAAATGCTGCAACGGTCGTAAGTGTGAAAAAAGGGTGGTAAGTCAGTTTTCTCAATGCCATAGTTTCAGTCACTGAACGGTTGTAACTCGAGGACTATCCGTACAGTTCTTCACGCCAGCTTTGTCCCTCCGAGCTCCCCTGTTAGCATGGGGGGGGGGAGGCAATTTCAAGATTTCCTTCCCCACACCCCAGCCCCAATCTAGCAGCTCAACAACATCTGGTGACCGCAACTGCCAGCCTTACCATTGAAATCCGCCGATGGGCTCCGCGAACCTGTGACGGATGAGGAACGTTGCCACAGCTTCCGCTACCTGAAAGAGAGAGACCAGGGGGAGGTCTTTTTTTGCAGAGACGAAGGAGGCTCTCCCCCTTTTCCCTGGGACAGGCCCTCCCCAACCAATTGGGAACCCCTGCATTCTGCACCTTCCTTGCTCTCGCCCAAAGGAGCCATTCGCGCGGACGGGTCAGGCCTTGCCGACTGGAGCCCGGAAGGTGGTTTCCAGAGAACATTAACCGAACTAACAACGGAGTTGGAAGGGACCTTGGAGGTCTTCTAGTCCAACCCCCTGCTTAAGGAGGAGATCCTAGGCCAATCTGGACAAACGGCTTTCCAGTCCCTTCTTGAAAATCTCCAGTGATGAAGGACCCACCATGCCGTGAGGCAAGTTGTTCCATTGATCTGTCTGTCCATCAATCATCTATCAATCATGCCTGTCTCTGTCTAATCAATCTATCTATCAATCATCTATTTAGCTATCTTCCCTCTCCTTCCCCCATCTATCTTTGTCTCTGTCTATCATCTTTCATCTATTTATCTATCATCTCTCTCTCCATCTATCTTTGTCTCTAACTGACCTGTCTATCATCTCTTTCATCTATCTATCCATCCATCCATCCATCATCTATCTTCTATTTATCTCTCTCCATCTCTTTGTCTCTATCTGACCTGTCTATCATCTCTTCCATCCATCCATCCATCCATCCATCCATCTAATATATCTATCTATCATTTCTCTCTCTCTCTCTCTCTCCATCTATCTTTGTTTCTTGTCTATATGACCTGCCTATCTTCTATCATATGTATCTTATCTATGTATGTCACAGAATCTTAGCACTGGAAGGGACCTTGGAGGTCATCTAGTCCAACCCCCCGCCCAAGCGGGAGACCCCACACCATTTCTGACAGATGGGAGTCCAATCTCTTCTTGAAAGCCTCCAGGGATGAAGCTCCCACAACCCCCGAAGGCAACTTCTGTCCCATGGGTGGATTGTTCTCACTGTCAGAAAGTTTCTCCTTATTTCCAGGTTGAATCTCTCCTTGGTCAGCTTCCATCCATTATTATTCCTTGTCTGGCCTTCGGGTGACTTGGAAAATAGCTTGACCCCTTCCTCCTCTCTGGGGCAACCCCTCAAATATTGGAAGGCTGCTCTCCTGTCTCCCCTGGTCCTTCTCTTCCCTAGACTAGCCAGGCCCAGTTCCAGCAACCGTCCATCGTAGGTTTTAAGCCTCCAGTGTCCCCTCTTCATCCTGGTTGCTCTTCTCCTCACTCTTTCTAGAGTCTCAACCTCTTTTTTATAATGTGGTGACTAAAACTGGATGCAGTATTGACTTTTCTCGAAGTCTCAATGTCTTTTTTTTTATCTCATGCCAACCAAAACAATGGCCCTGCTGGTTAGGGAATTTTCTGGGGGCTGAAGGACACACCCCTCGGGTGGGGGCTGGGGTGGGGTGGGGCAACCAGCTTAGCCTCCCCCTTGAACAAGCCTGACACGGCAACCTCGTTTCGAGCCCAGCACGGAGAGAAGGCAAAACGACCACGCTCACTCACTTTCTCCGGAGCATCCTCGTGGACTGCGTGGCCGCACTGCGGGAGCACCTGGATCTGGAATTTCCCTGCAGGGAAAAGGAGAAGAGAGCCGGGTTGGGCCAAGGGCTAAGGCCCTGGTCCAGGAGGTCGTGAGTTCGAGTCCCGCGGTGATCCCCACCCAAGCCAGGGGAGGGAATTTGGGCCGGTTTCAGCCGTTGAGCCAAGAAACCCTACGACTTCAGAGAACAAAATGGGCAGCATAAAAAAAATAAAATACACCAATTAAAGTACGCTAAATTTGGGGAAGTCGCTGCTGTTAAGGAGGGCACCTTTTTAACCGTTTGAGAATCCAGCTTAATGCATCAGAATATAACAGCCTTGGTAGGTTCACCGAATGAACGGAATGAAGGCGCGGACGTCTACAGTCAGTGGGGAAGAAGGAACCCACCCTGGACCGGAAAGCTGAAGACTTTTACCTTGCATTTGGCCAATGGTGAGATCTTTATCCAGTCTATCGACACCTAGAAATGGAGGAG